AGTTAACCGATGTCCTGTGATGGCACCACGGACCTCAACAACCTGACCTCATGGACGTTGTAATGTGGCTGGCTTGTTTAGAAACTCAAGCTTTATGTCTACTCTATTACAATAATGGCATGTAATTAACTTGACGTTTTGTCTCGTCCTCATAAAATCCATTTTGATGGCGTTTACACCTATTTCTCTCTCTTGGCTACGGTCAGAACTAAAATCTGTGATAGCGGCACAGAGTGAGTCTGTGCTGAGACCACGGATAACTCCAGCGCAAGTCAATGACACTCATCTTCCGTGGTCCACACACGGATACCCGTTTGAGTGACGGAGTACAGATCTCATCCAACGGACGTGCTTTCTCATTTGGAAATGCAGCATTTGAAATAGCCTTTTCACTTAGATATATGCCATGTTAACCTGGCGGCCTATGTTGTTCTACCATTATAAAAATTCAGTTTGATTCTGTATTTAGCCTAACTAAAGTTCCCACTCACTGAATGTTTTAATGAACTTGCTCATTTAAATTAACTCATCAGGTCAAATCTGTTATCCTAATGGTAATGCAGCCTAATTAACTAGACATTTGCCCTGTCATTGTAAAATTCAATTTGATCACGTTCTCCAAATCGCAGGGAAAATGCCTTATCATTAGCTACCACGGATCTGGAATGGATCTGTGGTGGACTCACGGACTTGGTCTCGTTCTATGCGTTGCTTTTGTTTGCTCATTTAGAAATTTGAAAACTTCAGGTCGACTGTGTTAATTAATGTGTTCCATTGCTATTAAGTTTGGAATTAAAATGTCCAAAACCATGGATTTTTATTTTTAAAAGTTTTATTGTGTAACAATATTAAATATTGTTAAACTGATATTATTTCTAGGCCTAGGCTACTCCTTTTAACATAAAATGCAGGCTTATTAGGATTCTTTGTATTATTTTTATTAATTAATATTCAGAAAATTATGTCATTGCTGCGACGCGTCATAGGTCTACTTCCTCATGCAGGCTACATCCCAGAATTGCGCCCTTTTTCCTATTTTGCGGTCGACGTTCACAGTCAGCAGATCGGTAAGTAACGCTAAAGCTTGTGTTATGTGAATTGTTGATTCATTCGAAGCAAATTTAAGACTAAGTTAATTGCTATCAAAAGCCTACCTATCTTTTTATTTATTTTTTATTTTTTTTATTTTTTAACACCAGTGTCGGTTGCACAGGGCCCTGTAACGTTAATCCTGTTAAGTTCGGTGTTAATTTCTCCATAATTGCTAGGAGTTCAAATTGCATTAACTACGTACCCAGTGTATGCAACGTTTCTTGCTAGCTAGTCATGTCGAATATCTTAAGCTTTTTACTTATTTTTATTTTTTTTTTTTATGTATACAGTATAGGCCTATATGTATTTTAAATATAGGCTATGTGTTGAAATGCATTGCAACGCGTTGCTCTATGTTTTACTGTAGGCCTAGTACTGGTATTGGTAGCTTGTAAAATCGAGGACATCCCCGGGCCCTGCGCAAGCCACAGCTAAAATCTTGGGTCATTGCGATGAGTGGTCAGTTATATGCGAGGGACACCATACTCACAGACAGACGTTTATTACTTAAAATCTTTGTCAGCATAATTGTATTTGCCAATAGGCTGCTAGTGATTTAGTTAATATACGTAATTTCAAGAGCAACACAAACAGAAAACCAAATAATTCCAAGGGGCTCACAATATTTTGATTTTGACTTAAGCAATAGAACATGTAAAAGATAAAGAGAAAAAAAACCCAAAAGGGTAAAAAAAAAACAGCCCAGAAACAGGTTGATTGCATCAAAGACTTATGCATGTCGATGTGGCCAGATGGCATTCTCAACCACAGTATTGCCAATCAGCAATTTGTCGGTTCACAAGAAAGTTAAAGTCATGTCGTGAATGAATTTCATGTAGAAATGAAATGCGAATTTCATGTATGAAATATGCATGTAGAAATGTTTGTTCTAATGGTCATTCTAATAATAATTTCTGTCTGTTACAGATACAAGACAGCTTTACCAAAAACAGGCACTTTTAAGAGCCATTCTTTCACATTTTTTATATTTATCTATTGCTGTCTCTTTCTTGTCTCTCTCTCTCTCTCTCTCTCTCTCTCTCTCACACACACACACACACACACACACACACGCACACACACACACACACACACACACTCTCTCTCACACACATTCCATACAGTAAGTATCCCAAGATTTTTATTTTCTTTTTTTACACAGCACAAGTTTAGGTTATTTAAAGATAGTCTTGTATTTTGTTTCATTATAATGATGTATGATTTGTATTTTTGCTGTAGGAACAGCAGGTCACATAGTGTTATGCTTGATACCCTGGATTGGTCACACATATCAGTCACGACATAGCTGAAATTTTGTCTATTACATGACAATTGTAAGATAATTGTATTGGAAAGACAAAGTGTTTTATGGAAACCTTCACAACTCTTGCAGTTAAGGAATTTATATTTTTATACAATGGTTATTCCAATCATCCTTTTCTTTTGTATGGTTTACAGAATAACAATGCCTGGTGGAGGGCTGAAGAAGTCGTGCCCTGCATGCCTACAAAAAATTTTTAATGGATGCAAGGTCTGCCCCTTGTGCAAGGCAGCACAGCCACAACATATAAGGCTGGAAAAAAAATGGACAAATTCAAGATGGAGAAGGAGTCTTGGGTGTGTAAGACAAAGAAAAATCAATTAACGTCTCATTTATTGGATGATGCCGTTATTTTGGTAAGTAACTTGTTCTGCATTACCATAGTACTAGTGGCTTCAAAATTACCTTGGTCCAGGTGGTGACACAGGTGGTGTGTTACATTACAACCGACTATTCTTCTATTCTACTTATGCTATAGATGTACTCACAGACCATGAGTTGATTCGCACGTTAGGTTAGCACATATTTTCAGTTGCACATTGTATGAAACTTAATAAAGGCAATTGATTGATCAGTTTCAGGATCGTAACTTTAAACTATTATAATTGGAAAAGTGTAAAGAAACAGGCAAGAAACAGCCAGGTTCACCTACAGTAGGTGATAGCCCGCAGTTCTGTAACACACGTCAGCTCTCCATATCATCCACAGTTTACTCTTCCCTACTGAGTGGTTCATGCCCAATTATGTAAGTACATAGCGTTCACTTGCGTGTTCTTCTTCTTCTTCTTCGAGTCTGTTGCAACCTTAGATGTCATTCTGTCACTATCTGGTCACAGCTGATGGGGTCATTTCAGCTCGGTGCTGGGGGTGGGGTCATTGTCTGTACAGCTTTACAGCTGCATGTGTCTTCTGTCTGGTGGTCCCGTGCTTTCCTACTGTTCCACTAGTAGTCTGTTGAGGGTCTTCCAGGTTAGCCACCCTGGTGGGACATTCAGTAGGGGTGATTCCTCTCTCCATCCAGTCCTGGGCTTGTGTATGTAGCTGGTTCCATTCATCTTTACAGATGTTGTCCATGCTGTTTCTTTGGTTGTCTGGAGGTGGGACTGTCTGCAGGAAACTGGATCTGGATTTCAGTCGTGGTGGAGGTGCTGTCTGTCCATGAAGGGGATGCAAGGTGTCAAACTCGTGTGTTCTCCTGTGCTGTCTTGGGCGACGATGGATCATCTTATGTGGGGAGCAGGGATGGGAGGGAGCAATGCCAGCTAGGTGTAGAGGCACGGGCCTGGCGTTGTCTCTGTGCATACCGTGATAATGCGGCAGGTATTGTTGAGGGCTGTGTCAATCAGTTTGGTGTGGCGGGAGCGGCTCCAGTTTGACCACGCATATTCAGCTGTAGGGAAGCACTGACTGGGCCCTCAACCAAGACATGCTGCTACCATCCGACTACATTACTGAGTGAGATTCTCTCATTGCACAGAATATGATGTGAGTTGTGTGTAAGTCAATGCGATGTGTGGTAGACCAAAAACTTTTAACCAATCTCTTAGTAGGGATTTTTACATGAAGATGCTCTTGGAGGCTTATAGTTTCAATTCAATCATGCAATCATCTGTAGAACTGTAAGCCAGATAAGAGTGCATCATGATGGAGACAGGCACACCAAACCCACCCACATATACTCACACCTTCCCCACATCCTCAATGTATCATCTGTTCTATATATATATATATATATATATATATATATATATATATATATATCAGCTTATGTATACATCAGCTCTTCCATAAGTTAAAAAGTGTGCATCTGAAACATACTGTTGTGGGGCTGGTGTCTGTTACACATAACACTAGCACAGTTTTATCGTAGACATAAAGCCCTTATTATTGTTTATAGAGTATGTTTTTTTTTTCTTTCAGATTGAGAAGCTGAATGCAGTGGGCTGGAGGCCCATGCTTTTTCTTGAGTACCCGAACCAAATAGTCAAGACGCTGCTGCCGGAGGGGCTCAAATTGAGTGCAGGGGAGAAAATATGCGTTGACAACATGAATACTATCTACAGCATGATAGTTAAAGGTCATTCCACATTTTCTATACACAACGCATTCTCACCCCAAGGCGTCACCTTTGACCATGCTTCAATATTTGACGTTTTAGGCGCCTTTTAGCGTCACTTACATGACGCGATCCTACGGCGTCATCTAACTGACGCTAAAGGAAAGCATCTGTTAGAAGACGCGGTTAGGTTTAGGTGTGGGGTGGGGGTAGGGTACACGCGATCCTAGGGCGTCATCTAACTGACGCTAAAGGGCGCCTAAAGCGTCAGATATTGAAGCATGTCCAAATGCTTCCCAAGGCGTCAGTTAGGTGACGCCTTGGGGGTGAGAATGGGCTGCTATACATTATAACATCTTTAAACAATCCAAATTCAGAAAAATTCAGGACATTTTAAAAACTAAATGACATCAAATAACAAATTCACCTTTCACATTTTGACCTAATTACATTTTGTATATTCTTTGTGTTCCTTGTATTCTTTCAGGAAATACAGTGCCGGCAGACCCTTCAACAACTGAAAGTCTGCAACTTCCAGAACAGGAGACTGTTGTTGTCTTAAATTTGGAGACTATTCCAGACCCTCCACCTCAACAAGGTGTGCTTAGTATAGCTTTATCGTTATCTTTCATATTTTTATGACAGTGTTCTTTACCAGCATATTATTATCATTATTGTGACTATAAGCCTCCAAGAGCATCTTCATGTAAAAATCCCTACTAAGAGATTGGTTAAAAGTTTTTGGTCTACCACACATCGCACTGACTTACACACAACTCACATCATATTCTGTGCAATGAGAGAATCTCACTCAGTAATGTAGTCGGATGGCAAAAGGCAAAAGCCTCTAAGGACAGGGGAAACATGGCCGGAGGTCGGTCTGGCGCGGTAGTCGCTTTGCTAATTTACACAATATTTCTGAAGTTTATACAACCGACAAACAACTATCCACCTACACAATCTCTTAACAACAATTATGCGAATATTATTCGCAACAATTACGAATTAATTGCTCTCAGGATCTCTCGGCATAAACAAACAAACAAGATCCATGGCGTTCTTAGGTATGGGGAGTACACCTTGGTCATCCTCCTTGTAACCCCAACTCGACACAACCGCAGGGTGAAAAGGATAAAAACAACATGTAAACGACAATCCAGTCAGGCTGTGATAATAGCCATATGTTTGCTTTTGTCGGGGGACATTCATCAGTGTCCCGGTCCAACCACAAATGGAGCAAGTATTTCTGACGTTTCTTCAAGCAACTCTACCTCAGCTCAGGTATGTAGTATTGTTAGAAACTACTCATGCTCCAAATCCGCACAGCAAACTTACCTTTTCCGATGTGCACTCTCCCCGAGCACCATGGAAGATCCAGTGAGTTTTCAGCGGTGTTCTATTGAATCTCTGGCGCACCCTGAGGACACCGGTCCTGGTGAGTGTCTGCAGAGGACCGCGAGGGAAGTCCGGTGTTCCGATTCTGGCCATCTGAACTCACCGGAGGATAAGACACCCGTCCGGTTCCCGGTGGATGATCGTCCATCGTTTAACTCGCCGGCGGTAAAGTCATCACCACTGGGGAGACTTGCTGTGGGCCTACTGAGTGCATCTTCAGCTGTACTGAGTGCATCTTCAGCTGTACTGAGTACATCTCCAGCTTCACTGGGTACATCTCCAGCTTTACTGAGTACATCTCCAACTCTCCCTATGAGTATTGGCGGTGACCATACGCTCGTGAGTACATTAAATGTCCAACCAAGTGACAAGCACCGCAGGAATCCATCAGACAAACATGTGTGCAAGAAAAACATCCGTGGCGAAGTAAACAGAGCAATCCGTAAGAACCGGAAGTGGAAAGTTTTTCCAACCGTAAACAACTCGAGGGTTATTTGGGATCCGAAAGCTAAGCCTAAGGGCATATTAGGCGGCCATCAAAACATACGGAGTCTAAAATCTAAAAGTGATCAAATAAATCATATATTACTAGAGTCTAATTTAGACTTCCTCTGTTTAACGGAAACTTGGCTACATGATAACTCTTCGTCGGCTGCTATAATAGTCCCGGGTTATGATATTTACCGCAGGGATCGCATTGTCGCAAAAGGGGGTGGAGTTATGATATATGTAAGAAACAGTATTCACTGTAATGAGATTCAGTTGCAAAATCCAAGTGACTTAGAATTTGTTGCCTTGAATATGATTATTTCGCCTCAGATGTCTTACACCCTTGTTGTAATCTATCGACCACCTTCGTCAAATATTAGTTTTTATAAAAAATTTAAGACTCTTTTATGTCAACTGGATTTTAAAAAAGAAATAATCATAATGGGTGACTTTAACTTGAATTGGGAAGATAAGTCCTCAAGAATGAAGCTCAAGCTTATTTTGGACGGTTTTAATCTGGTCCAACTTGTTAAAGGCCCAACAAGAATAACAAACAGTACCCGTACCCAAATTGACCTTATATTCAGTAATAGGCCGGATAGGATTTCAAAATCATTCAATATGATAACTGGGCTCTCCGATCATAATATGGTGCTTATATCAAGAAAACTAACTTGCAGGCGGGTTATGAATGCTGGCAATAAAGAATTCTTTGGCATCCCGAAAAATAAGCATGAGGCATTTAAGGTGGCCATTAATAACATAAAATGGGATGAGATACTTCTTGAAAATGATTTAGAAATCAGCAGTCAAATTTTAACAGAAAAATTACAATCAACAATTCATGAATTTTCAATTAGAATTAAATGTAAAAACAAGAAACAGAGTCTTCCCTGGATGAACGAGAAAATTCTAAAATTAATGAAGGAGCGGGACAATGCTTTAAAAATATCGACAAATTCAAAGATGTCAACTGATAGGTTTAAATTCGTTAAGCTAAGAAATACTGTAACCAGAGAATTGAGGAAAGCAAAGGCGGACTTTTTCATTATAATTGCTGAAAATTCTAATGGTAACTCAAAAGCCATATGGAGTCAGATTCAGAAATTAACTGGTCAAAACATTAGTATAACTAAGCCAATTGTACTAAAAGTGAATGACACAATATTGAAGAATCCAACTGATGTGGCAAAGGCCTTTAACCAATACTTTGTTGAGTCAGTAGATACTATTGCCCAATGTTTTACAGTACAACAAAATGATGCACTTCCAGTTAATATTAGAGAGCCAGCATTAACATTAAGGCCGGTATCTGAGAATGAGGTTGTAAAAACAGTCACATCTCTCAAATCCTCTAGGGCTAAGGATGTGTATGGGATGGATTCACTTATGTTGAAAGAGATAAATTCTTCTATAGTTACCCCATTAACACACATAATTAACATTTCACTGGCTCAAGGAAGGTTTCCTAATTCATGGAAGCCTGCTGTTGTGGCCCCTATATTCAAAGGCGGTGATCCTTTGCTGACTTCCAACTACAGGCCCATCAGTATTGTACCTATAGTATCGAAAATATCAGAAAAACTGATTAACAAACAAATTATCGACTATCTTAACAATAGCTCTTTTCAACTACACTCTATGCAATTTGGATTTAGGGCTAATTACTCGACAGAAACAGCTACTTGTCACTTCGTAGAGAAAGTTAAGGTCTCATTGGATAAGGGCGGGGTTGTGGGGGCCGTGTTTCTTGACTTAAAGAAAGCATTTGACACAGTTAATCATGACATTCTATTGTATAAATTACTTAATTTCAATTTCTCACCTGAGTTGGTCAATCTTATCAAATCTTATCTTTCATGTCGATCTCAATATGTTAAAATTGGTAACTATAAATCGAACCCCCTATGTCTTTCAACTGGGGTCCCGCAGGGCTCCATACTTGGTCCTACCCTTTTTAGCTTATACATTAATGATCTACCCTCTGCATGTGAAAATTGTGACATTTTAATGTACGCCGATGATACAGTTATTTTTACTCATGGTAAAACTGCTACAGAGGTTGCAATCAAGCTAACAGATGTATTAGTGAAGGTCACATCTTGGCTTAACCAATGTTGTTTGCAACTGAATGTTTCAAAAACAGTTTGTATGTTTTTTTCCAAAGGTTCCCACATAGATGCAGAACAAGACATTTCTATTTCTGGACATAGATTAAAAGTTGTCTCAGAATATAAGTACTTAGGACTACACTTGGACTCAAACCTTACCTTCAAAACCCATATAAAGAGGGTCTGTAATAAAGTAAAGTTCAGTTTGGTGAATTTCAGGTATATCAGGACCCTCCTATCAACTGAGGCAGCTAAGGTATACTTCCACTCATTAATTCTCTCCCACATAAACTACTGTTTGATAAGTTGGTCCAACGCCCACGCTACAGCCTTAAAACCATTAAAGTCATTATACAAACAATCACTTAAAATTCTAGATAAAAAGTCATTTCGTCATCACCATTGCCATATCTTACAGAAGTATAAATTGCTTAGTTGGGATAACCTAATAAAATACAGAAATGTCTGCTTAGTTTATAAGATCATGCACTGCTTAGCTCCTCCTCCTTTATTTGGCCTTATCACTTTTAAATCAAATACAAACAGAGTTACAAGAGGTGCAGCTAGGAGAGACTGTATAATCCCACTTAAAAAAACTGCATTCAGTCAGGCTGTCTTTTCATTTACTGCTTCGCATGAATGGAACTCAATACCCCCACTAATTAGAGAGTCTACACCTTATTACTCATTTAAGATTAATGTTAAGAAATGGCTTATTGAAAATCAACACTGTCAACATTGATGTGGGTCCAATTCATCAACAATAATTGTATCGTTTATTAACATCTAATTATATTTTATATCTCATGTTTATTTGATTATTTGTGATTTTAACACAGTCTATTCTTTTTACTTTTTGTTTATTGTATATTGAACTGTATTGCATTGTTATTATTTATTATCTTAGGATGCCTAGTAACATCTGGCAAGGGGACTGCCGATGAAAACTAGCCTGTGGCTAACTCGGGTACACTTACATTTGTTGTGAATGTTGATTAGTGTACATTGTCCCTTTTCAAATAAACAAATAAATAAAAAAAAAATAAATTGTAGTATGTTATTTAGGCCTGGGTAAAAATTATAGATTTATCAATTTTAATCGATTCTCATATTTAAGAAAAAATATTGTTTCTAAAATCCCAAGAATCGATTTGTCATCCGGTTTTCAGTTGATGAATGAATGGAACATTGTTTTGCGCATCTAGGAGACAGTAGAGAAAGAAATCTCTGATGACCGAGGCACTCCTTAATTAAAATGTCTTTATTGAACAAATGACAAATGAAATTTAAAAAGCCCACGCATAGCGGCATGGAGCCTTTTCAGGGCATGGTGACAAGGCATTGTTTTGTGCATCCCATACAATAAATGGCAATAATCTTTGTGCTTTGTTATTATTTATATGAAACAAAGTCTCAGATTTTAAATTCCGTTCATTTTCTTACGAAATTCAAAAACACAATTACCATTTTGCCGCTGTGGCGTGAGATCGCTCTGGCGCAGCTCAAGAGAAGCAGCAGAGTGGACCACACGTAACCTTCTCTTCCGCCTTAATAATACCGGTTACAGCGCAAAATAAACATGAATGAGCTTCTGAAAGTGTGTTAAAAGATAGAGTACAACTTATTAAAGTCTGTGTCATGTCACATGGAATCACTCAATCAGTGTTTCAACCGTGGAAAGATGTCATTTAAACAATCTCATGTAACGTCACATTTACCTCCGAAAAAACATATCCAGCGACCATAAACTCGTTAGTCAGCTAGAAAAAAATGTACTCTAGAGAGGAGAATTTTGTTAAATATATGCACCATATTACATATTCATTGATATTGTTAATGTTCTTCAATATTTAATGCATGTTTGAATACATCTGGAAAGTTTTTTATGACAGCCACCATTAAAATTTTGGTGATTGGCACTGAGTCTGACTCTGTGTTGTGTTTATTTTAGTCTTAGAAGCGTTGAAGTGGAAATTAAGGCAGCTTGACAGGTTGGCTCAGAGGCTCTGTAATAGGTTTATTACAGAGTTGTAGTACAGCAGGATACAGACTTAAGTAGAATAGTCTATAATATTGGTGGTTGATGGCTCTAGAGAAGCTCTCCTCGGCAGTCAAATCATCTTCTCAACGAACCAAAAGGTCCGACCAGTGTTATACATAAAGATAGTCATAAATAACTAGAACAACAGGTGCCGGAACAGAAAGATCTAGGAAAGGGTCCCCATTGATAAGGCATAGGCCAATGCTACATCTGACAACAGACTGCTCGGCACCGGCAAGGTAACCCAAAGTCCCACCAAGTTGCAATGATCGAAAGTGATCAGTTTGTTGTGCTTAGCCTAGTTATTTGCTCTTTAACTTTTCGTGCCTTCTTTTACGTTTTTGTAGAATGAGCTTGATCAGCCACACGTCTATATCTGACCTTCTTGCATATTGTATTCTGTGTCTACTCTTTAGTTGAAGCTCTTCTGCCAACCAGCCCTGCCACCGACACCAATGAGGGGGGACAGATTGAGACAGGTAACCCAAAGTCCCACCAAGTGGCGATGATCGCACCAAAATTTGTTGTGCTTAGCCTAGTTAATTGCTCTTCAACTTTTCTTGCCTTCTTTTACGTTTTTGTAGAATGAGCTTGAGCAGCCACAAGTCTATATCTGACCTTCTTGCATATTGTATATTCTGTGTCTACTCTTTAGTTGAAGCTCTGCCAACCAGCCCTGCCACCGACACCAACAGGGGGGGGGGGGGGGGGGGAATGACAAACCAACGAAAAGACGTCAAAGGACAAAAGGTGTACCTAATAAACTCAAAGCTGATATTCTGCCATATTTAACTTTATTCCCATTACGTTTGCTATTTAATTTGCTATGCAGGTCTCCGTTATGACATTAACATTATTGATGTACTTCATTTACATGTGAATTGTACGCATTATATCAATATGTGTTATGTCAAATATACCCCTCCCTCTTTACTGAGTTACAGGTCACAACAAATACTTCTAATCTGTGGACTGTTTTACAGTAAGTTATATGATGTACTTTTGTTTTCTTTTTTTATGTTAACATTTGGATTAACATTTCTCAATTTGCTTATGATTCTAAACAGTTTCTAAAAAAGAAATGGATTGTCAGAATTTCCATTTTTTTGAGTGAACTAACTCTTTAAGCCTCGTCTGTTATGCAGAGGGTATATGTATTAATTGCATTTTTATATCCTGACAAAAAAATGTGTGTCATGTCATTAACCATTGTCTCATGATATAATATTTGTGTACATGATAAAAGTTTGAAATGACCTCTCTGCTTCATAGACAGTGCCATGTAGCACGATTACGTTGTAACGCTCAGCCTAATTAAGGCAGGATACACCACAAAATATACGGTTTAAACCCTCTATAAATTCTTTAAATGAAATTGTTCTCTTTACTCACACCATAAACACAACAGCAAACAAGATGTTATAATACCTCAAAGTGTATTAAATACAAAGCACCAACAATCAACATAGACAAACTATGAAATAAGTCCAGTGAGTGTGTGAGTGTTCCAATCCAGTGTAAGCAGGGCCGTATTAAGAGCTCACTGGGCCCCGGGGCTATGAGTTACTGCAGGGCCCCCCCACCACTTTAGGTCACCAACTACATGAGCTAAATGTTATATTATTATAGCCTACGAGTCATTTTATCCATCTATGATATACTTCACAGTTAAGTTATGTTACTTTTAACATGATTTTTTTATCATATCAAAATGTATTGACTAAAATTTCATAATTATTGTGACCAGTTTCAATATCACCAAAAAATAATAGTAGCTTAAGAAAATAATCTCAAGCTTACTGATGACAAGAGTCACAAATTAAAATAGAACAAAGGCACAATAAATCGACCTATGAAAAACTTAAAGCACTGAATAATATTATATAGCCTAAAGTAATCAAATATACAATAGGCCTACATGGTTTTCACTATAAATTCAACATTCATTCTTGTTAATTTTGCAAAAGTAATTCAGTCAAATGCAGTAAATTACTTTCTTTCTGATGTTTGATTAACATTATTGACACACATGGCGACAGCAGCTTTATTAGCAGCGTCTGTCACTTTGAGACCTCAGAGTCGGATTCAAGTGCGCTGTGCAAAACCGTCTCAAGTTCACCACAGTCTATGGTTCACCTTGGTCTCAAAACCAGCATTTACAAAATAAATTCTCCCGCTGCTCACTGTGCCTGAGCAGTTTGAAATAATTTGTATCCAAACCACAACGTTTAAAAACGCGTTTAAATGATAAACTTACATCATGATGGCGCAGCAAAATTGAAATATTTCTACCGGATATATTATCGCCAGTCCTTTAGGCGAATATAGAGTTTAATCAAACACAAAAAGCAAAATTATACATCCATCAAGTTAATATTCAAACTTACCGAAAGTTTGTGGGGTCGATGATGACGCTGTGTTTTAAGAATAGACTAGATTAGAATGAAGAGAAGAGTAAAGGCGATTTATTGGTTGATGTATAACCTATTCTAATAAGGCGCAGGCAGCAATCATCTATAGGCCTACGTGCAGCAGCAGGTCGGTCGTTCACAAGTTAAATATAGAATAAATATATTTGTCATATCAAATTAAAACCTGACGTTTCAATTTACCATGCCCTGCTCAGAGCCGTTGGCCCTGCATGCCTACGGGGGTTTGATTGACAGGTGGCCTGTCCAATCATAACGCCGAATACGCAACTTTGTCCGACAACAAAGCTGTCAGTCGGTGGACATGAACTTGAAAACGGTAATGTTTAAATTACTTAAATGACAATATTTGAAAGTTAAGACTTTGTTTCATATCAACAGTAAGCTCCTCTGAACTCTCTCTCGTAATCACTCGGTGTAACGTTAGTCTTTGCCCCGCGAAGTATTTTTCACTGCGTGAGTGCATGAGAACATGATGTGGGTGACTCACGAGAGCCGCCTGGCTCGTGGCCCTCTATTAATGATAATGATTCCATGATAATGCATGGAATATAAGGCAAAGTGCAACTAAATAACAGGGATAATTTGTGGGGGACATTGCGTGGTAAGGCTTTGGTAATCAGATGGCTTGCAGTATCTGCTCCACAGCCAATCACGGGCCCCCTCCTTGCTTGGGCCCCGGGGCTTAAGCCCCGCCTAGCCCTATGGTTAATGCGGCCGTGAGTGTAAGTGTATGTGTTGAATCGGGCTCACCGGTAAGCCTTTTAAAGTCCGTGCACTTGACGAGGAACAGCGCTGTCCTGTGATGCGATCTCCAGGGTAAAATAATCCACAAGTATATTTCCACAAAGAGTTCAACAATCACAGTCAATGACAATCCAAGGAGTAGTGCGATCGATCGCTAGTCCCAAAAGAGCAATGTTTACGTTGCTCCCGAACGCCGCTTTCCCGGCTCTTTTAAACGGAAGTAAAAGTCATTAACCCAGCTGATCAGACTGACGTCACGGGGATTCCCTGGAGCTCCCCGACGGAACTCTCGCGGTAAAAACCAGGAACACAATCACATGTCCGGGGCATCAACCGAGACTAAGAATAATTATAAAATACAGCTGTCTGGTAAGCATCATACAAATACTTCACAGCAATATAAACATTCTTTCCTTATGTGGCTTAGCTACAACGTAGCAGAGAAATTTAAGCTGAACTTGGACAGAGGCGCTTCCACCAAGAAACAAACGATACAAGAGTCTCCATTCTCTCTAGAATCACAACAATCACACACAGACATGGTGAGTCAGTGAAATCAGACACAAAGTTTAATGTCTCTCTTCAAAAGAGTAAAAAAGTCAAAATAATACCAAAGTTGTCGTAAACTAGACTATTACATACAGCGGAAAGAAATTTGTACAACTTGCAGTTCAGGGCTCATATGGATATTTTTTGCATCTGAATTTGTTTGGTCAGTCTTTGCAGTTTGACCAGTGGAGGGCAGCTGAATTGTCTCCGGATTTCTTCAGAGCTCAGCATCTTCCCAGCAGACGAAGAAAACAGTCTATGTTTCACATTACATCACCGCTAGAGCAGCACAATATTGGTAAAAAATGGCATTGCGATATTTTATATTTCCGCAATATATATTGCGATATTACAACAATTTCCCCAGATGACTTGAATTGCTCTATTTGGAAAGAATATATTATTATAGAATGACCACAAATTTCACAATTTCAAAAATTTGATTCTGATATTGATTCAATATCAATTCCTTTGGATAAATATTAGGTACAGTAGATACGTTAATGTGTTATGTTAATTGTTCTCCAAAAATAAATGACCTAATGCTGTAAACATACAGAGAGCCCTGTCAGCTGGTATTATTAAAGGTTAAAACTAACTCAAATTAAACATAATGCGTTTTTTATAATAACAAACAACTTTACAATATTTTAATGATATAGTTAAAATATAATAAATGTGTAATATACCGGTAGTTATCATATTTATCATATTTAGCAAAATACTCCTCTCTATAGCAATTATTTTAAGTCCAACTAACATGCGTGCTTTGTGCTTTGGTCATTAAAAGGCATTCCTGAGTCTGAGGTAAATGTAACGTTACGTGACACATGTTGTTCTCCAACTTCTCCAGCTGTTTTATGGACATCTTTCCGCGGTTGAAAAACACTGATCGATCGGTTTTATTTCGGTATAGCAGTAAAGAGTAACAGATGATCAGTTCACATGCCACTTGAACTGAGATCTGTTAGTGATCTTTCACGTGATCACATCACATTTACAAGCGCCAAAACTGTGTTTATTGTTTGAATTTCGTAATAAAATTGACAGAATCTGACCGATTTTCATTTTAAAAAATCGGCGCAAATCGCCCAGCCCTACCTTAAAGTGTTCCTGGTACAAGCTGCTAACTCTCACGCAGTGGCCGTAAGACACCCACATTTGATTGGTTTCACGCGCTCATATAACGGATGTAATAAAAGATGTTACCAGATAATTAATGGAAAATGCCACCCCCCGCTTTCATTTTTTGAATAAGAACACTAACAATTAAGAATCAGTTCGCCGCCACACCAGCGGAGGGCGCTTGAGCGCTCCTGTGAAGTAGACTATTGAGACTAGATTTGTCCTGGGTGCAATCTCAGAAGTAAAGCTGACGCGCCAAGGGAAAGACGCTAATCCTGTCTGTCTCTTTACTATTTCACAGGTAAATAAAATACACTTGAGACGTAGTTCTAACTGTTCATGAGATAACGAGAAGGTTTAAGGAAGTAACTGTGAAGCGTTTTAAGTAACTTTTTCGTGTTTTAATGTGTTTATATAGATTTGATTAACGCAACGTTTATAGATATAAACAGATTAATCAGTTAGTAAATTACATTTAAAAGTGTTTCACGACAGATGACATTGGTGTAATGTTTAATTGCATTTGTAATGCAAGGGTATTTGTTATATTTGTGTTTAAAATTATTAAATTGAATATATGTGACGCAGCTATAATTTAAACGCCATTTTGAGTGCTTTACGAGTACACGTGTCATGTAAATGTGTGACACGAGGTAATGAGAGTGAAATGGAGTATAGAACATGGCGTTCGAGTTTCAGATGTATTATTGATTTATGTATTTTTCATACTGGGTACACTTAACACTAGAAGTGCCAGAATTCCAAAACTACTAGAACGGCCACGAACGGTCATTTTGACCGTTAGATTCGAAACAATATGAAATAATTTTCATAATTTTATTTTTCGTCAACCACATTTTTTCAAAGACGAAAACGAGACGATAACTAAATAAAAACTAGGTTTGAATGACAAAAACTATGACGAAAATGTTAGTGACGATATGCGAAGCGGTCAATAGGCTAATAATAATAATAGGACTAGCAGAACTAGTGAACCGCCCATGCAGCAACAGCGCAGGACAGGGCAGCAGCGCTCACCAGGATCATCCGACATGAATGGATCATCTGGATCCGCCGTGTCTGATGATAGCAGCCGTCTCTTTTTCCTTGATGTGGACTCTGACTCTGAATCACTCTCTAATGATATATAGCCTATAGATAACGCAAGTATTATAGATAACTGTAGTCTGGTTTTATTTGCTTATTTCTGATCAACAACTAATGTAGAAATTATTATATAGCAAACACCGCTACAGAGGTGACCAGACGGACCTTTCTGTTGACAGTTGAGAGAGAACACGATCAACCGCGGAATATTTAACAAAAAAATATCGCGAAATTCAGTGCGGTCAATATGACCGTCTATGGCCGAAATAGGTAAATATGTTCATTTTTTTTTTGTTTTGCCTTACGTTTACGTAACTTAATTTATATTAAAAGCATTTTAAATGAAAATACAGACAATTTTAGGAAAAGTCAGGTACCAACAGGATTTTATTACTTTTTTCAACAAAGTTATTGTAGATATAAAATTCAAAACGGTCAAAATGACCGTTGTGGCCGTTCTAGTGTTAAGCTTTACACATTGGGGTGTGAGAATATTTGGCTTATGTGTAAAAGTGAGATTTATGTGAATTTTTCATGTTTCATTTTTGTATTTGTTCTTCTATGCATATAGTATGTAAGATATAAAAATATATTACTTTGTGGTTATGGATCACAGGAGCGTATTCAGGTACTGAAAGTATGTATGAGTCATTACATATCAGCTATGTGCAGATAAAGTTATTTTTCTGAATGTAATTCAAGAAATGTTTACAGTTGTTACTATTGTGCAATCTCAGAAGTAAAGCTGACGCGCCAAGGGAAAGACGCTAATCCTGTCTGTCTCTTTACTATTTCACAGTTCACAGGTGCACAGTGTTTCACTGCCTGTGTACCCTTGCTGCCAGCCCAGATTTCCCCTAGGTCTGAGGCCGGTAACAATTGGGGGCTCGTCCGGGATTGACTGCACATCTCGTCGGGGACGGTTGTCATAGCAACGGTGGGATCCTGCGCCCAGTGTTTCAGGGAAGGCTACTTCGCTGAGTGTCCTCCAGAGAACAACTGCCACAGGTGATACAGCAACATGACTACTTTCAGCCCACGGCGAGTGCTGCTCGTCAAGATCCAGAAGAAACTTGCAGATTTGAATTTGAGGCAGTTACAGACTGTAGCCAGTTCGATAGATGACGGCCGTGAAGCTGACTATGTGGTAAATTTAAATGAACTTGAACTTTATGATCTAATTGTCGACTACATCAGAAGTGAAGAGTTAAAAGCTGCAGAAGATGAGGGCATGACTCAACTTCTCCTCCTGTTTGACCTGCTCAACGACGTTCTATCAGCGCCAGGTACCGAAGCAGCTGAACCTGGTAACGTGGCAACCGTCATGACGCAAGATTCAGCAACACAGAACCGAGGAGAAGCTGGTACAACACCAATCCCTATAGACAGCGATACACACACACAACCATTTCACATGGACAGAGACACTAACACTCAATCGTTACACATGGACAGAGAGCCTCGTGTGCACGTATCCTTTCAGGGCAGAGACACTGTCGATGTACTTAACAGGGAAGTCACCTCATCAACGTCTGGTATGCCCGGCCACAGTGGTGTTGCTCCGTTGGGTAGGATGAACTCATCTAACACTTCTGACCAGGTTGTAAGATTGTCTGATGTTTCAGCTCTGTTGCCACGAAGAGAGTTTAAGTTACATGGTGGTCAAATTTGTGATGCAGGTTGTGACATGTCTTTCAATTGTCTCTGTAAACAAATGGATGAAGGGTTGCAAGAGGGTTTCAGTGGGTCTGAAATTATCAGAGCAGTCCTCAAAATAACCAAACCTGGTACATTCAGAGAGATGTTAGTTAATAAGAATGATCTCACTGTTAATGAGCTGAAAAGATTTCTGCGCTCTCACATTAGAGACAAAAGTGTGACTGAACTTTTTCAAGAGTTGACTAATGCTAAACAAAGTGATAAAGAAAGCCCACAACAGTTTCTTTACAGAATAATGGGTCTGAAACAGCGCATACTTTTTGAGTCACAACATCCTGGTGTGGGGTTTAGCTATAGCCAAGAACTTGTTCAGGGCACCTTCGTACACACACTTTATCAGGGGCTAAGTGAGAAAAACAGCCATGTCAGACACGATCTTAAACCGTTGCTGTCAGACATGCAGGTTAGTGATGACTTGCTCTTGGAGCAAATCACAAAATCAACAGCTGAAGAAGAAGGGCGACTGAAAAGACTGGGTTCAGGAGGTAAAACCAGATCAGCTACTGTAAGCGCAGCTCAGCATTCCCAAAGTGAATTGAACACTCCAACAAGAGTTGACACTGAGTTACAAGCAAACCGTGATGCTATCAAAGAACTAACGGCTCAAGTTTCCTCTCTAACCAAGCATCTAGCTCAGATGTCCACCCCAGCTGAGACTGTGAAGCTGCAAGACTGTCGTTCACCTACTGTTCGTGCTCAACCACCATTATCTGAGACCAGAGATAAATGCAATGACTGTGTAAAGAACAACAATATGAACTGTGTTCACTGCTTTGTCTGTGGCCAGGCAGGACATCGCGCCATTGGCTGTCTCCAACGAAGGTTGTCGGAAAACGGGAAGAGGTCGCTGGAGAGGGGCAGTCAGCGATCCTAAGCAGTGAGGAGCCCCGAGAAAAGGTCAACAAACCAAAACGCTCACAGTCAAACTCACAATACCAGCCAGATCCAAAGAAAAGAGTAGCTCAACTCATTGGTAAGCGATGCATGGTCTCATGTTCCATTAATGGGGTACCTCTTCAGATGCTTCTTGATTCAGGGGCACAAGTGACCATGGTGAGCAAATCGTGGATTGAACAAGCACTACCCTCTCTGAAAATACAGCCGCTTGGATTGTTGTTCGTTAATCACTCTCTCGAAATTTCTGCTGCTAACAATACTCAGGTTCCGCTTGATGGATGGGCAGAGATCGATCTTCAAATATGTAGCCAGCAACATGGGCGTGTGACAATCCGAGTACCACTACTTATCAGTCGTGATTGCAACTACCCTCTCTTAGGTAGTAATGTAATTTCGGAAATGATCAAAGCAAATCTCGATCAGCATGATAACGTTGATGTGACTCAAATACTTAAAGAAGCTTTGAGTGTCGGTGAGTGTGACGTGGAAGCATTAGTCTCTACACTCCAGACTATTAGACCCGCAGAAATTCCAGAGTGTATTGTACGCCTTGGCAAGAAAGGTATAAATATACCCGCCGGCAAGATTCGTGAAGTGCAGTGTAGAGTTCGAGGATGCCACAGTGGAGGTACGATGATGTTTCAGCCTTGCCCTGAGAATCATTGCCTGGAGGGTCTGGAAGTGTTCCCAGCTTTAGTTGATGTTCCTGTTGGATCATTTAAGCGCATCAAAGTCCCGATACAGAACTCGACCAGAAAGAAGACCATTCTTGGTACTCTTGAGGAAATACTTGATCTAAAACCAATCAAACATTCATCTATAAACCGTGAGCCTACACCTCAGAATACAGCACACTTGTGTTCAGCTCAATTGTGTTCTTGTGAGCAAACTTCGAGAACAAGTAGGGAAACACTTAAAACCAACCACCAGACCAAAGGCAAATGGCATCCTCCGGTCGATCTGTCTCATCTAGCTGAGGAAGAGCAGGAGATTGCAAAGCGTTTGTTATATGACCTGTCAGATGTCTTTGCTGAAGATGACACCGATATTGGTTGCATTTTTGACTTGCAACTCAAGATCTACTTAAAAGATGACATTCCAGTCCAAAAGTCCTATAATGCAGTTCCAAAGCCCTTGTATAGAGAGGTTAAGGAATACGTCCAAAAGCTGCTAGACCATGGATGGATCAGGAAGTCTGTTTCACCTTATTCCTCCCCTGTGGTTTGCGTAAGGAAAAAGGACATGAGCTTACGTCTTTGTGTGGACTTTCGTGGATTAAACAGTAAGACCATTCCCGACCGCCATCCACTTCCACGTATTCAGGACTTATTAGATAGCCTGGGAGGTTACTCTTGGTTTTCTATCCTTGATCAGGGCAGTGCATATCACCAGGGCTTTGTTGAAGAGAACTCTAGGCACCTGACAGCTTTCAGTACGCCGTGGGGATTGTACGAGTGGATCCGTCTTCCTTTCGGCCTTTCCAACGCACCGGCGGCTTTCCAGAGATGTATGGAAAATGTGTTGAGTGGTCTGAGGGATGAATGCTGTTTTCCTTACTTAGACGATGTTCTCTGTTTCTCCAAAACATTTCAAGATCACGTCAAAGATTTGAAGAGAGTGTTTTGCCGCTTGCGGGAGCATGGTGTGAAATTAAGACCAAAAAAGTGTGAACTATTTAAGCGCCAAGTGAGGTATGTCGGACGCTTAGTGACAAGTGAGGGCATTCAAGTCGATCCCAAAGACTTGGAAGCAGTAATGCAGTGGAAGGAGCGGGAACCAAAGAATGTTGGGGAAGTAAGAGCTCTTTTGGGATTCTTGGGCTATTATCGGTCCTTCATTCAGGATTTTTCCAGAATAGCCCGGCCACTGTTTAAGCTTCAAGAGAGTCCTGATGAGTCTGGAGAGAAACCTGTAAAAACTGGAACGACTAAGCAAAGTATGAAAAGGGGTCAGCTGCCATCAAAGACACCAGTTAAGTGGACTTCTGAACACCGTGATGTGGTTGCTTGCCTTGTCGATATGTTGACCACTTTTCCTATCTTGGCCTACCCAGACTTCAATTTACCTTTTGTCCTTCACACCGACGCATCCAAAGAAGGTCTGGGGGCTGTACTCTATCAAGAACAAGGGGGTAAGCTACGTGTAATCGCTTATGGTTCAAGGACACTCACACCCGCTGAGAAGAATTACCACCTCCATTCTAACAAGCTTGAGTTCCTTGCCTTGAAGTGGGCCATCTGTGATAAATTTCGAGACTACCTTTACTATGCACCCACGTTCACTGTATTCACCGATAACAATCCCCTCACCTATATTTTGAGTACCGCCAAGTTAAGCGCAGTTGGGCACCGGTGGGTGGGTGAACTGGCCGACTTTCATTTCACCATAAAGTACAGACCAGGCAAGACAAACACTGACGCTGACACCCTATCACGGTTTCCAGTGAAGCTTCTGGACCACATCCGAGAGTACTCTGAGGTTTTACCTCCAGATGTGGTGGCTGCAATATGGCAGGGAGACAAAGCCAAAAGAGAAGGGGAAGTACCTTGGGTGGCGGCCCTTCAGCTGGGCTCCAGTGATAATAGTTTGCTTCCAGTCAGTACACGTTTGTTTCCCCCAGAAGATATCCGTACTGCTCAAAAAGGAGACACTTCCATCTGTGAGGTCATTGCATTGAAAGAGAGAGGATGGATCCCTAATGACAAAGACAAGAGACAGATGGGACTCACAACACGACGGTTAATTCACGAATGGAACAAACTTCGACTTGACCAGGGAATTCTATACAGACAAACAGGACAACACAGACAACTGGTTCTCCCTGACTCTCTAAAATCTCTTGTGCTCAAACACCTCCATGATGACATGGGACATGTCGGAGCGGACAAAGTTACTCACCTAGCAAGGCAGAGATTCTATTGGCCTTTCATGCAGCGTGACATAGAAAATTATGTCATCCGCCAGTGTCCATGTATTAAGCAGAAGCGACCTACTGTTCCTGAGAAGGCACCAATGGGCTCCATTACAACTAGTGCACCATTTGAACTATTGTCAGTTGACTATCTGCATCTTGAACCGAGTAAGGGTGGTTATGAGTATATTTTGGTTCTAGTAGATCATTTTACTCGATTTGCCCAAGCTTACCCGACACGGAACAAATCTGGAAAAACGGCTGCGGAGAAGATTTTCTATGATTTTATACCACGTTTTGGGTACCCACAGAAGTTGCACCATGACCAGGGCCGCGAATTCGAGAATAACCTATTCCAACGGCTTCAGCAACTGGCTGGCATTGCTCATTCTCGAACAACTCCTTATCATCCACAGGGGAATCCCGTTGAGCGTTTAAATAGAACACTTCTCCAGATGCTACGAACTTTGTCAGAGGACAAGAAATCTGCATGGAAAGACCACTTACCACACATAGTGCACGCATACAATTGTTCAAGGCATGAAGCCACGGGGTATTCACCATACTTTCTCCTCTTTGGAAGGGCCCCGCAATTGCCTATCGACTTACTTTTTGGCCTAGAACCTGAGTCACAGACTGAAACCCGGCAGATGTATGCGCAGAAGTGGGCTGCTCGGATGCAGGAAGCGTACAAAATTGCTTCTGAAAACAGTAAAAAGAGTTCTGCAAAAGGAAAAAGAGACTATGATCGTGGTGTCAGAGGGATTGTGCTCCAGCCCGGTGATCGTGTACTTGTTCGTAACTTGTCCGAGAGAGGTGGGCCCGGCAAACTCCGTGCTTACTGGGAGAAGAAGGTTCACCGTGTTGTCGAGAGAATGGGAGATGGTCCAGTATATCGAATTCAAGCAGAAGCTGGTGATCGCACTCTTCGTGTTCTACACCGTAATCTTCTGTTGCCGGTGAATGATTTACCGCTTGAATATAATGGAGAGGATAACCGGACACAGAAACAACTCCACAAGAACAGCCGGCATCACAGTTCTAATATCTTAGAGCACGACTCCAGTGATTCGGGGGACGAAGAAGAATATGCGTGTAACCCCAGGTCAGTCCCAGTATATGGAAGGGAAAAAGTCATTCGAGAACAGTACCATCATGAGCTAGACAGTGATCTTCGAGTAGCTGCACCAGAGTTTCACCCAGAACACCGCAGAGCTGTGCAAACTAATCATCCACCTCATGAGCAACAACCTCGAGTTGTGACACCTGAACCAATGCAAGCGCTGGCTGACATGTTGCCATCTCTGGAACCTCAGGAACAAGCTGATGACTGCACAGCTAGAAGTAGTTATGGAGATTCTGACGTGGAAGTGAAACAGGTTACTCAGTTAAATAACGGAGAGGACAGTACCCTGCGGAGATCTGCACGTGCAGTAAAGCCAAAGGAAGTGTTCACATATAATCGAATGGGACAACCCTCATACCAACCTTGGGGACCAGGAGTGAATGCAATACATACCCGTGTACTGTATCCTATTCATACTTACCCAGTCGTACCTGATCATCGCCACTATCCTTCATCACCTGTGTGGACATATTAGAATTAGATCAGAACAGAACAAGTAATACAGGACTGTTTAAATTCAAATACTTGCCTGTCTCTGCATCGGACGGATAGTTCTTGCCGCTACAGGACAACTTTATTCTATCTTGTTGGATTAGTTCTGGATACCTGGAGGCATCCCTTAAAGCAGGGGAGAGTGTAACGGATGTAATAAAAGATGTTACCAGATAATTAATGGAAAATGCCACCCCCCGCTTTCATTTTTTGAATAAGAACACTAACAATTAAGAATCAGTTCGCCGCCACACCAGCGGAGGGCGCTTGAGCGCTCCTGTGAAGTAGACTATTGAGACTAGATTTGTCCCGGGTGCAATCTCAGAAGTAAAGCTGACGCGCCAAGGGAAAGACGCTAATCCTGTCTGTCTCTTTACTATTTCACAGGTAAATAAAATACACTTGAGACGTAGTTCTAACTGTTCATGAGATAACGAGAAGGTTTAAGGAAGTAACTGTGAAGCGTTTTAAGTAACTTTTTCGTGTTTTAATGTGTTTATATAGATTTGATTAACGCAACGTTTATAGATATAAACAGATTAATCAGTTAGTAAATTACATTTAAAAGTGTTTCACGACAGATGACATTGGTGTAATGTTTAATTGCATTTGTAATGCAAGGGTATTTGTTATATTTGTGTTTAAAATTATTAAATTGAATATATGTGACGCAGCTATAATTTAAACGCCATTTTGAGTGCTTTACGAGTACACGTGTCATGTAAATGTGTGACACGAGGTAATGAGAGTGAAATGGAGTATAGAACATGGCGTTCGAGTTTCAGATGTATTATTGATTTATGTATTTTTCATACTGGGTACACTTAAGCTTTACACATTGGGGTGTGAGAATATTTGGCTTATGTGTAAAAGTGAGATTTATGTGAATTTTTCATGTTTCATTTTTGTATTTGTTCTTCTATGCATATAGTATGTAAGATATAAAAATATATTACTTTGTGGTTATGGATCACAGGTGCGTATTCAGGTACTGAAAGTATGTATGAGTCATTACATATCAGCTATGTGCAGATAAAGTTATTTTTCTGAATGTAATTCAAGAAATGTTTACAGTTGTTACTATTGTGCAATCTCAGAAGTAAAGCTGACGCGCCAAGGGAAAGACGCTAATCCTCTCTGTCTCTTTACTATTTCACAGTTCACAGGTGCACAGTGTTTCACTGCCTGTGTACCCTTGCTGCCAGCCCAGATTTCCCCTAGGTCTGAGGCCGGTAACCCGCCACTTATTGCACTATATATTTATTTATTTAATTTAATATTTACAGCATGCAGTTTATCAAGAATAATGATTGCTCAAACCAGACAAATTTCCATTTGACATTTTATTTCCACATTTGAATGTACAGTAACTCATTAAACAATGTCAGATCGCTGAAATATAACAGAAAAATACAAACACACACAGCTTTCCAATACATTTTATAGTTAAAAAACACTTTATATATATATATATATATATATATAAAACACTGTATAACACTTACAATACTTGCTAATAACATAAAGAGTTCAGCTCTGGGATGAAAAGAATTACCAGTAAACACAAGTAATGAGGATATTTGGTACCAAAGAAAGTGAAGGACACCAAATAATTTGAGAATATACCATTATAACTGCAATGCTGACCTGTGGCACAAGGATTTACAAGCTATATTTAACAATAGAATAACAGTTAAGCACTGTGACAGAATGAAGTAGAATATTTGGTACCAGGTAAAATGCAATTTCAAGTATCAGAGGTATGAAAAGTGAAAGAAATGAACTTTATGAATTTTATTAAAGTTTTGCCGCTATATACTTTGCCTGCAGAATGCGCTTGTGGAAGTAAAGAAGCTGGCTGAGATTCTTTCGGACATACGTCAGCAGGGTTCGTGCATAGAGCATGTAGAATCGTTAAGCAATGACGGAATGAAATAAGCCAATACTAAAGTCACGGCAAGTAGAATATTTGATACCAGATAATGTGGAGAAATCAAGTATTAGATGTATAATCTAGGATTTACAAGCTATATTTAAATAGAAGAGTTAAGCACTGTAACAAGCCTTTTTTAGATGTCTTGAAGTTACTGTCTGCAGGATAAAAAAAGGGCTCCAGTTGTCAAGTGATGCTGGGGTGTCAGTAGTCAGCCTAGGTTTAAGGGGTCGGCTGTGGGTCCCACTCAGCGGTGCCTTTTTCCACCTGCATGGTCAGATGCTCCTTTCAGGTGATGTGTAACGTTAACCTGGATCGCCTCATCAGTGGCATCCTGGGTCGCCGGGTTCTTCCGGATGGCTCCTGTAGAAAATAAAGATCTGTCATTCCATTTGAAAGGCATAAAGTCATACACATCTACTTAAATATAAAAAAATATCCAACTTACTTTGAACAATGGTCTTCAGGAACATGTCTCTAAAACATGCTTTATCACCTACACCAGACCAGGTTATATTGATGGAAAGGTGATTAGAGAAGATACTCTGAAGCATTCGCCACATGGTTGTCTTTAGGTCCCTCTCACATTTGATTGTCAAAAACCGAAGCTGAAAATACAAAAAAAAGTGTAACAAATTACATTTATCTGAAGCTTCTCATACATTTAAAATGTAACAGGGTGTGGATTCAGACTGTAGAATATGCAGTGTACAATCTTAATTTTACTTTTTTGAAAGAAAAAAAAAGTATTTTTTTTTTTTACTATGGCGATATAAACGAAATCAAAACACTTACAAATTGTTCCAGGAGTTCTTTATCCTGCCTCATACTGTTGTCAAGAAACGGCAAATTTTCCTGGGTGTCTAGGGGGAGTAACAGATCCCCTGGCAGGGATAACTCTCCAAAAGACATATTGGCACTCAAAATGTTGCAGCATAGGGTCCATTTTGTTGTCCATGCTACGCACAACATCACCAAATTCTCCAAGGGTGTACTCACACTAGCCAGTTTGAACCGTGCCAGAGCGCGTTTGACCACCAAAGCGCGGTTCGTTGGACTATTCTGAGTGGTCCGAACCGTGCCCGGGCGCGGCTCGATTAGCCAGCCCTGGCCAGCTTGGAAGAGGTGGGCCAGAGCACGGTTCAGTTGGACTCGGGCACGGAACAGGACGCGTGAAGTTTTTGTTTATTTGTTTATTTGTAAGGATCCCATTAGCTGAAGTCTGTACAGTCAGCTAGTCTTCCTGGGGTCCATTCTAAAAATTTACATTACAACAACAACATTTCAATCATCACAGTTATCATATACACATTTCATATATAGCTATATACATACATACATAAAAACATACACATGTACATACATACAATCTTCTAATTTCAATTCATGACAAGGCGAAAAATACATTTACAATTATCATAATCAAGAAAAAAGAAAATATAAAAACCTACATCAACACATAGCACCTTAGACTTCTTTTAAATGACAGCTTATTACAAATCTGACGAACTTCAATGGGAATGTTGTTCCAGATGACACAAGCTCTATACAGGACGGTTTTCTTCATAAAATTCGTTTTTGGATAGGGGGTCATTATGTGACCGTTATTTGCCATTCTGGTGTTATGATTGTGCACTGAGTTACAATACACTAATTGATTAAATAGATAAATAGGCATTTTTATTGTTGTTGTTTTATATATCATAGTGCTTAAAGTAACTGTTATTCTTTGGTCTAAAGTGAGCCATGAAAGAGTAGAATACATCTGTTCTCTACTTGTTTTAATTGAGCAGCCCAGAACAAGTCTTGCCGCTTTATTTTGCACAACCTGAATTTTTGTCAAATCCTTTTTAGATGCAGAGGACCACACCTCAATGCAGTAAGACAAGTGACATAATATTAGTGACTCTGTTACTGTTTTTAGAGTTTTCTGATTCACATAATTACAACATTTTTTTGTTACTGCAATGCCACATCCCATTCGGTTAACAATAGTATTTATGTGTTCCGTCCAAGAAAGACTACTATCAATCACCACACCCAACAGTTTAGCTTTTTCTACCTGTTCTATACTTTGCCCGGCTATCTGTAACTTTAATTCCGATCCAAGCCTCAATTTTTGTTTTGATCCAATGATCATACTTTTAGTTTTGGATAAATTTAAGGCTAATTTGTTTCTACTAACCCACTTATACACTGCATCCAATTCTATAGACAGAACATGATTAAGTTTGTCACATGAGTCTGAAGCATAGTAAACAGTTGAGTCATCTGCAAACATTGTCATTGATGCTTTTTTGACAGTTAAGGGCAAATCATTAATAAAGACTGAAAACAAAAGAGGACCCAAACAACTTCCTTGTGGTAAACCACAGACTAAACCTTTGTAATTAGATAAAGAACCATTATAAAAAACCCGCTGAGTTCTATGTGAAAGATAACTTTTCATTAGTGCAACCGCAGAAGGAGAGAAGCCGTAGCTCTTCAATTTCTCAATTAAAATATGATGGTCTATTACATCAAAAGCAGCGCTGAAATCCAACATAACCACACCAACTAATTCAGAATTATCCATACTTCTAAGCCATCCATCAGTCATTTGTGTGAGCGCTGTACAGGTGGAATGTGCCTTTCTATATGCATGCTGAAACATAGTCATCAAATTATTATTCTGAAAATAATTACAAATTTGTGTATGAATAATTCTTTCCATAACTTTACTGATTGCAGGCAGAATACTTATAGGCCTACAGTTATGTCCATTATAAGATAATCGATTGTCTTTTATCAATGGAATAATTTTCGATTCCTTCCACAGAGATGGATAAATCCCACTCGCCATACACTGATTAAATATATGACACAAAGGAGCAGCTATATATTCAGCTGTTTTATTCAATACTAGACTGTCCAAATTGTCTGTGCCTGGACTACCATGTGTTGGAAGAGACTTTAACAGGGCCATCACTTCTGCAGTTTGCACACAATTAAAGTTAAAATTACACATTTTATCAGCCATGATTTCGTTTTTGATAAGATCACAGTAATTAAAATCTTGTGTTCTAAAACCTTTCCTTAAATTACTAACTTTATTTATAAAATAATTATTAAAATAATCAGAAATTTCTTTAGATTCTGTTATGAAACCTCCGTCGCACTCTACAAAAGAAGGTGGTGAATTTCTATTTCTACCCATAATTTCATTTAGGATATGCCAAAGCTTTTTGCCATCATGCTTAACACTATCAATTCTTTTCAAAGTGAAGTCATGGTTTTAGGAACTGTAGTCCGTAATCAAAGCTGCAAAGTCCTTTCTGCACTTCAGCTGGTACCTTGCAAACCTCCTCATACGAGCAGCACGATTACGTGAAAATTTTCGCGCCACAAAGGCGACACATATGTTTAACAACAGGCTGTGAGAGGGCTGTGGACCAAACGACAGAAAATTATCCACAAAGAAAACAGAGCGATGGACTCCATAGTGTTCAGAGAGCGCCGCTCTTCTTGTTTATCCCGAAACCTATGGAAACCGTCGCACCATAATGATGACGTAAGCGTGCTCCGGCACGAATGCTGAAACCCTATGTGAGTGCAGGCCAGAGGGGGAGTGGGGAGGGGGGACAATCGTACTCGGTGTGCCTAGTGTGAGTACACCCCAAGACGTCGCAGCATTGGGGTCTGATCTGCACCTACAGGGGTTCCCAGAATAAAAGAATAAAGTAGTCAGTCCGGGTCCCTCAACTACTATGACAGTTATATCTAGGTCTACTACATGTACAGATGGGCCTTATTGGGAATTACACCAACAACCAACGCTTAAGTTGTTTGCAAGTTGTACCTGATTGCCCAGTGTGAGCAAACATCTTCAACATTGTCCCATCTTGCTTCACCTGCTCTTGAAGTGAGCCGCTGTCATCTGAAGCTACAAAATGAAAGGCATATGGTAATTTTGGACCTACATTACACACAAAAAAGTTAAATTTAACGTGCATATTCTCACCTGCTGGTGCATTGCTTTTCATTCTGGAGTCTCTGTAAATCTGCAAAAAAAATATATACATATATTTTTAAAAATTTCAACTAAAGGCACTATTTTCAATACTGTTAAAACAATGCACAGTAAGACATATGCCTAGAATATACCTTCATAGCAGAAAACTTCATGCTGTACAAGAGGTGCCAGGTGAGTCCAAGGGCCAATAACTGAGCGATGACTGTCTATTGTTAATTAAGGCACCCAGGCCAAGGAAGTTTTCAAATGAGAAGCATGATATGTTATCAAGGACAGCATACTTTTTGGCATCTTGTCTGAGGAGGTGCACCAAACCAATCCATGCATGTAATATGTCACATGTTCTTTTCCATAAAGCTTGCTGCAGTGATCAAAGAGAACCAATATTAACCACTATAGCTACATTGTGAACTGAACTAGCAGCATACTTGTTCGGACAAACAAAATAATTTACACAACCTATACACAATATAGTATATTATTATACAAGTTATACTTAGTCTATCTAGATGTAAAGCTTTGGCTAACTACTGTAAGTAGCTAATTATTACATTTCTACATGTAACGTTACTAGCAACATTGCTTAACCCCAGTGTGTCCTAACAAAGGCAAAACGGCATGTGTTTTAGCTAACACGTGCTAACGTTAGCCACTCTAGCAACAGGACTAGCAGCATATGCAAGAACAAAAAAGACTGTAGAAGAAATAAAAAAAGGGTCAAATTTACAATGCTTACGGATGATAAATTTACTTATTTACAAAATTTTAACTTCACTGTACAGTCTCTTTATTATCAAATTTCTACATCATGTGATTAACACTCCTCGATTTGAACTAACCCAAAGAATGAAGTGGCATCCTCTCTCTGGTGTCTGGCCACCAACAATTCTTGGAAACAGAATTTTCTGTGCATCATACTGTAATGAAAGAAATAGGAAACACATACTGTGCCATTACATGTATAAACATGCAGGAGAGCTTAATATATATTTATTTTGCAAATTGTACAGTACCTCAAGAATTTTCAAATGAGAATCTGAAACTGTTTTTGAAGCAAGCCAGTCTCTATGCCACATGTATATTGTATAAAGGAAGTGCGCTACATCTGTCACATAACCTGTATGTTGAATAAATCGCACAATAGGAATACTTAATTACGTTTCTGAATAGTAGTGTGAAAAAAAGTTTATGTTCTCAAGTGATTACTTACATTCTGGGTCTCTGCTGCAATTTGTGCAACCCTACAATTTACTGCCTTTAAAGCGCAATACGAAAATAAATTTGAGGAAAATTATGATGTGAGTTTCAATATCTACTGTACATGTCTTAAAAGTTAAACATTACATTTTAGATAAGAAGTTCACTAAAAATATTATCAAGAATATTAAACAAATATTTGTCAAAATAATTGGTACTCACATTATCAGTTAGCCATGGCATCAAAATACCGGTGTCTTTCAAGAGATCAGGTGGGCAAACGCTTTTCAGGTCACATAGTTCCAATGAGGTGTAGTGAGAGATTTTTGCGATGACAGTGGAGTCTCTCTTCTCGACAGAATAGAGATGTGAGATTTTGTCCTAATGTTGAAAAGTTGTGTTAATATTTTTATTTCCCTGTTATGGTATACAACACCATGGGTGCAGCCCATATGCAACACTCCACCTGTGTAACAATAACAGAAAGGTTATTGAGCAAATGTTTTCTGCAAAATTATGGGTATTAAAACAAGAAAATACGACATGGAATGACAATATCATACCTCCAGCTATCTTCAGCTTCACGAACATTTTGGGGTAAATCTCAACAGGGTCTTCTTTCCCCGCTGATTCTGCCAAGCCCGTTCCCTTGGCTGTGGTTTCGCTAGATAGCAGGTAGGGACAGTGGGAATCTCGTTCATCCATTCATGCGCGTCACTAATTAGATGACGAGGCATTTGGCTAGCGACACGGCGAGACGCCATTGAGCATGTATTGTCGCCTGGTACGATACAAGGGGTGTCACCTTTCCGGATTGTTAAGGATGCCCGTCACCCATACTACCTGCACGCTGGTAATTCGGTCGAACGACCAGCGCACTTGACGACAAAACCGGCTAACTTTGGAAGGTAGTATACTCACGTCACCCAGTAGACATGAAGGCCAATCATGCTGCGAATTAGTGTCACTAGTGCATCCGCATTGTTCCAGTGGGCAGCATTATGTTTAATCATATCGAGTCCCGTTTCCGTCCCTATCCTGCCAACCGGCACCGGCCTTGTCCGCAACCGTTGCTCCCCCTCTCCCGCATCTGCATCAGCACCTGTAACAGAACACAAAGAGAGAGAGATGATTAGTGTGGGTCAAGTTCTGCCCCCACCCACCCCCCGGTTCTCTGCCATCGGGGTGCCATTAGATAGGGACTCATATCCATCTTTCGGGTGTGTAGGTTGGTCATGAGACTTCTTCCTCGCAACATTCCTCGCTCCCTGGGCGAAATGCTCCTGCCCCGTACTGGGGAGGTCTTCCTGCCATTGGCATGTCCCTTCGCTAGGAGTTCGGCCATATTGGAGATGCCCGTCCCATTACCGCCCATGAGTTGGTGGAGAAGCATGCCTGCTTCTAGACAGAATGCCCATCTTTCGGTTTTGTACCTAGAGAGAGGGCATTAGCACTTCAGATTGCCTACCCAACCTGCAAATGACAACGGGGGAGTCATCATACAAGTGATAGGTTCTGAACTCGGGTTCTGCCCTTCCGGTATGTCTGGTTCCTTCCCCTTCCCCTACAGGTAACCCATTACCAGATGTGAGCTGATGCGATCAGCCCATTCATTGGCGTTGGGTCCTGTGTCTTTGCCCTCAGGCTGGGTCCTTTCGAGACATTACGCTTGCTACTACTATGGCACCCCTTTGGCAACCGGGCTTGTCCGCTCCCGTCAGTATCGAGGCTGTCATCGTTCAACCGCCCTTGAGTGCTCGAGGTCAGAACCGCAGCCCCCTTCTGTACAATGGGCTCCTCATACCCATCGCCTTCACAGGAGCCGCGACCCCAACACCCCGAGCACTCGCCTTCTGCTTGTCTATAGGGGGCCGAGCAGGTCCCCGCCGAGCCGGTAGTCAGAGATGCAACCTCCTCTCACCGACCCCACGAGGATCCACACCAGCCCCCCATTTCTGTCCATACCGTTATTCTGTACACTGCCGTGTGACAAAACCTATTCAGGCATGTTGACACTGTTAACCCTTCACGGGACCAGCTTGGCACATTACCCCATTCAGGCCTGTACATCACAGCAGGCATGCACAACGGGAATCACGCCCTCGATACCTACTTCCTTCGGGTGGAGGAGAACCTCCGCAGAATTTCCAACGAGTAGAGGAGGCACCTCCGGCTCATCAACTTCGCAAAGGATTTCATCCTCCGCTTCCCCATGCCTATGGTTTCAAGCAGTTTGGTTTTGCCTTTGTGCCATAGGCCTCTCACGCCCAAGGGGAACCCGAAGATCTGTACATGCTTAACACCCAATTTCGATGCGATCACATTCTTATAGGGCCCGTAATAGTCCTCTTTTTGCAGCCCTGCCACCGTGAGAGTGTCAGGAGCCAACTCATATCGGACCGTTACGTCAATGACCAGGGCGCAATCCCCACGGATGAGTACCAGGTCAAGTCGTCTCACAACCACGTTACAGGTTCTGAACTCCCATTCCTGGCGTGCCTCCCACCCGAGGGACTCCGCCTCAGCCCCGAGGAGACGGCACAACTTGTGGTGCGGGCAATCCTGGCCACGCTCATGGTCGGGCATTGCCCTAGTATGTGTGAACATGACTCCAACCTATGTGGACATCTCCTGCAAGTTGCCTCAGTCTTGCTTCTACCCCGACACCGAAACTCTCGAGTGGGATACACCCGGCACGTAGCTGAAGAGCCGTAATGTACTGCCTTTCGGTCATACATGCGGGCTTCCTCAGCCACGAGTTGCTGGCAACCGCTTCCCTAAAGCCGAGTATACCCACTCCCTGGGTAGGGAGACCTGCCCACTTCAGGAATTCGTCACGTCTCCAATCGAATGGAGAAACACACGTGTGGGTCAGCAGGCCGGTGGCGTCTCCTCTATCGTTCAATACTTCCTCACTAGCCAGTGGGAAGTTCTCATTAGTGCCACCGGCCCTCATCCACGCCCTTTCGAACTTGGACCCGCATGTATGGAGTCAGCATCAATGCCCTGGTAACCGGATCTACAGAGCAAGAAAGGCGGTGAAGCCTTCTTGCTTGCATAGACGGAATGTGCCGAGTGAGCTTGCAAATCCCCAGGCCACCATCCCGGTTTTTCGCTTACAATAGCCCATCAGTGGTGGACGGAGCAAGGTGCAACCACTCCTTGGACCGCCCCCCTGATTATTCCGTCCGCGGCTCGCAGCACATTATCACCACCTCCCCCAGGTCGGCTTGATAGTAAAGGCGAGGAAGGGCATACTGGTTAAGGAGAACCACCCTCTGCGAGGGTTTAAGGAGGGATTTCCCGATGCTCTTGACCCATCCCTTCAGAGCACCTGTCAACTCAGGCTCAACCACCCCTCCCCAGGGGTTAACCTTCACGCCCAGGTACTTAACAGCCTCGCTGATGCTGGTTTGTAAGATCGCCTCCCCCCCAGTACCCATGGAGGGAAGTCGTTGACTGTAAATGATCCAGCACCAGGTTTCACGTAGAAACTTTTGCATTTTCTTGGTTGAGTCCTGAGCCCGGTACTTCTGGCAGAACGGGTCGAGCAGATGTAAATTGTACGCCATATCCTTCCAAGATCCTCCTACCAGCACAAGGTCATCAGCAAATGCAAGGCACACTACTGTTTGACCCCCTTCCATAATGTAGCCACGGCCATTGCGTTCAAGGCCTTGGATCAGTGGATCCAAGGCAAGGTTGAAAAGCAAGGGGGATAATGGGTCCCCCTGCTTCACACCAACCCTCACTTTGATGTCGGGGGTATTCCTACCCCCGACCTCGACACAGGTTAGAACTGTCGTGTAGGATC